TTAAGGGTCACATGCAACCAAAAAATCAAACATAATTAAAACACAATTATCACTTATTTATGACATACAATATACATTGCTGATTGTGAAAAAACATATAAACAACATTATAAGCGTACAATCGCAAATCAAAAGTGCAATATTTTGTATTTGGGTTTACTTCCCTCGAAACGAAGCACCCAGGATACCGAACCCAGTCAGAGCGGGTGGGTGTGCACTCAAGTGTAACGGCTGGGTTTTGTAAATACATGCTCATTTTTTGTGTATAACATTTTGCAATCAACAGACATCATAACATGTCATGTGTACAAGTATCACACCTGCCTGTCTGTGTAATTACATAATGTGACAGAGACCGAACTCGGGCCATAAATCAATGCGTTTTGTTTATGGTGTATAGCCTGATAGGTGTTAAGTTCAAATTGCATGTGGTCAGTGATGGAAGTTGTGTATTGAATATTGTCATTAGCAGACAGGCAGGCAGACAGACACATAGGTGTCAATAAAACAGACAATGAGTTTTGTCTGTGACAACGACATATCTATGTCACAGTTAGAAATTCTGTCAACGCTAAATAATGACATTGCTTTTAAGTATCGAACTGAGAAAGTGACTCGGTAAGAAGAACGTGTGGTGAAATAGATAAATGAAATTATATAAACAGTTAAATCGATAATCTATTGTCATAACATATAAAAGCTCGCGCCTGAGAAATATCAACAAAACATTAGAAAAATAGCTCACATCAAAGCCTCCCGACTCTGAGTACTCACCGCCAGGAAAGGTTTGAAATGTCAAACGCCTCACTGGTTGACACATAGCTGAGTAGATCTAGATCCTTACAAGGTTCTTTTATGTAACGAGTAACTTATTTACTATTTATTTGTGTACACAACCAGGATTAGACTACTCCTGCTCACGACCTTATAATCCGGACATGCATCCTGTTTCAAGCTCCGCGAACCTATTCAGTGCGCATGCGTTAGGAGCGCAGCATTGCTGTTGAAACCACTTTTTCCCCCAAGCGCTGGAGGAAAATTAGTCAATCGTTTGAACTCCTATTTCACGCGGGGTTTTTTCATCGTGTTAGTTTTCAACTTTTTTAGTTGAATTTGCATTTTTGATGATTTGTTTCAGTAAGTCCATACCCAAAGGTATCAGATTCTGCAAAGTTGTGATTTACGTTACATGTGACCTTTAAACCATAAAGATAATCACAAAACCTTCATATATGTTCCTTACCCAACATACTGGTTCTCAGAAGAAATATTGCAATACGTATCATTTGAAAAGCGTACTGGCACTATTGCAATATACCGGTATACTGGTAATACCATGCAGCCCTAATTATATACTTTCACCTGACTGGACAGCACCAACTGTGTGATAGCTATTGAGTGAATGAGTGAGTGAGTATGGTTTTACGCCACCTTTAGCAGTATTCCAGCAATATCATGGCAGGGGACACCAGAAATGGGCTTCACACATTGTACCCATGTGGGGAATCGAACCAGGGTCTTCGGCGTGACGAGCGGATGCTTTAACCACTAGGCTACCCCACCACCCTGATAGCTATTGAAGAAAGTATTGTAACATCTTCTGCTGAATTTGTGGTAACAGCTGCAGAAAGTAAGAACCATTGCCGGTTATTTGTGAGCCTTTTGGTGTGTCATGACAGCCTTGTACCTTTTTCTGGCATTATAGACATGGATCCACAGTTGGACCATCTGCCATTGTGCTGCCATGTGTTTCCCCAACACAATTTACTTTTATTGAAGGCATACACTGCAACTCATACCATTATTAAGCACATTTTGCTATTGTAAACATGGTAAACTACCTGCCAATCAATAGGTGCCCTCCAGTTGATGGAGTATGAAAATTGTGGAGTGTGAAATATCTTGACAGGCTCACTGATTAGCTTGAAACGATACTTGAGTTATTGGCGTATTTCAGTACATGCAAGCCTGTCGTTTATGAGAAGGACATTCAACGGTTCTTGGCTGCAGTTTCAAGATCGATCTATGGTTTGACAAAAGCAGTGAATGATTGAAGCGTTACCGACGTTGAATTGAAACAGAAACCCATTCATTAGGGACAATACCTTACAGTATTGAGGGGTAACAGAGTTGGCTTGTCTTCAGGTCAGTTTCTCATGTGTGTACACTCTCTTGGGCAAGATCCTGTTGTCATCCTATGTGCTTTTTGCTTGGCGTAATGCCAAAACGAGGAACCTAGGGGAATATTCCCCTAAACACTGATAAACATTACACTGTGTACAGCAACAACATCCAGCTGTTTCAGTCATAATTTTATTGTTATAAATATTGAATTGATATGTATGCATCTTTTGAGGCTTGTCCCAATACATAATTGACAGCATTGATTTTCTGATGGTATGATATATGTATTTCAATCAGAATTTCGATAGCGACAAATATGTTTTCTTATCTCCCGTGTGGCTGAAATATTGCTGAAATGGTGTAAAACCCTGTGCAAACCTTCCCAACGTTGAACAAAATGTATCTGATATCCGTAACAAATTGTGATCAACATTTGCGACATGTTGTAATGTTGTAAAAAATATTTAAAAAATGTATCTGATATCCGTAACAAATTGTGATCAACATTTGCAACATTTTGTAATGTTGTAAAAAAAAAAAATAATAAAAAATGTATCTGATATCCGTAACAAATTGTGATCAACATTTGCGACATGTTGTAATATTGTAAAAAAAAATAAAAAATAAAAAATGTTGTAATGCCTTTTACAGGTGTGCAGATTTTACCAAAGTTTCTGAAACCATGTTTGTAAAATGTTTCTCTCAAACTATTTGATAGATCGTGATAAGTTGGAAGAATTAAGTTTGAACAGTTGTTGAGGTGAACAGTTTGATATTATGTTTTCAGAAAGAACCAGATGATGGTTATCATGATGATGATGATACTTGCAATCTTATTTTTGTGTGTGTTGAATGTTGGATAGGAAAAAGAAGGAAAGTGTACTATGTGCTTCACCTCGTCTTCCTGGGATCTCCCAGCTCTAGACACACAAGATTACATCACCTTTTCTAATTTCATTAAGTACATGACCCTTCCAGGTAAATGGGGAAAAGAGGCTGTTCATATTGATGTTTGTAACCGATACGTGATGGCTAACAATAAATACTTATTCTAAACGAAAGCTAACACTCAAACGAGTGGCATTATATTTTCAGCACAGTGGTTGGAGCAGATGTTCGTTTGTTATGTAGAACTGGACCTGGTCTGTTCGGGGAGAGTGGTGTGACGTTCCCAGTCCCCATATAATCTGTCCCCAGTGGCTCTGCCCATGTTGGTGCTGCGTGTGTGTTTGGTCAGGAGCAGTTGACACAACACAGCATTGGCAAACTGAGGCGGTTGTCGACGCGTTTTTGTTGATTAAAATTTCTATTGTTAGGCATGTATGTCTGAAGCAATGAAGTCTGGGTGGTGATGATGATGATGATGATGATGATGATGATGATGACGATGATTGGATGTTGGTGAGACATTGTCTAGGTGTTATTCGGTTAATCAGTGACATCAAGATTGGTATGTACAACAGAAAATTTATGCTTGCAGGCAGATGGTGTTTTGTTGCTTGATAATTTATGGCCGAATGAAGGAGCACATAAGATATACAAATGTGTATGAAGTCACTTACAATAACAGTATTTACAATGAACACCTTCATTACGAACTGACAGATATTACAAACTTCTTTTTCCCCAACCAACCAATTGCTGTATATTTTATTAAAATGCACAAAACAATCAAAGGTTGTAACAAGCTAAAATTAGTTGTCCCATTACGTTAGCTATAACTGTAGTTTGCTGTGTGTAGTTCATTCAGTTTATGAGATTTCCTTATGACGTGAAGTTTTTTTTACTTAATGAGTCATGGTGAATACACATCCATACTGTGTAGTGTCATCTGCCTGGTGAGCACACAATACTGAAGTGGTGATGGAGGATGGGTTTGTAAATGTATTCATAGATTGTAGATCTTCTATGGATAGACATATTCTGTATGTTACAATACTGAGACCGAGGTCAGGTGGTAGGCTTGTTTGTCTGCCTTCAGTGAAGCATTAGTTATGCAAAGGGTTCCTCTCCTTGTGGTCACACAACATGGAGGTGATAGAGGCATGCTTTGATTGCTGAGGAGTGATGGATAATTTCTGGTACACGGGTGGCTGATCAAGCTGATGCGTGCTGGAGGGTGCGGTAACAACTTTGACAGGGAATGTGAGGGACGTCTTGCTGATAGTTGGCACGGATTTCTTTGCCTGTTGTTGTTGTGCTGAAGCTGGTCACCTTTATTCATGGCTTTGTGGATGCAGCAGCGCCATTTTGCCCTAACCATAGCAGGTTGTTCCCACGTGTTAGGGTTCATGTCAAACTCTTTCATGGATGTCTTTGAAACATTTCTTTTGACCTCCACGGGAACGCACTCCTTCAAGCTCGACATAGAAGGGTCTGGGTAGACATAGTCTTGCATGCTAAGGATGTTTGATACAGGAAGTGCAGATTATGACTGCTCATATATGACATGTTGTTGAAGTGTGGAAGTTGGAGTTACCTGCCCTTGAATCTGTAACAACTTTGCAACCATGTTAGCTGGGTAGTAATGACATTGATAAGACCTCTATTATGAGGTATTAACAAATGTTTATAATTTTTGTAGTAGTTATCACTATTTGGACCATATTACCTGATAATACCATATCACCTGATATGGATTCTTGGTTACAAGTCGTGCCACGTAGACTTCAGTTTTTGTATTTGGGCTGAAAGCAGCAGATGGTCCAGCCAGGTGTTGCATCAGGTGTTTCATCTGGTGTTTCACATGATCTAAAGAACTGGTGTCTGTTTGATTGTAGTCGGCCACCATGATGTAACTGGAGTGTTGAGGTTGCAGCATGAAACAAGCGAAAAAACTTTCATCCTGTATAATCACACTGTATGTTGTCTTTCAGGTGCTGCCTCTCCTACTGAGGGATAGCAAGCCTTACTCCCACCGAGGCCAAAATGGACGTCATGGCAGTGTAACATGTAGCAGGTCTACCACCATACTGCCCAACTGACCACCATCTGTCTATCACCATGGAAACCAGATGAAGATACTGGACAAACACCTGTGATAACTAAGGTCTTAACAATTGTCACAAGTCAAGGGACAACCTGATATCGAATGTCAGTGATCAAACCACCGCTTCCATATAGCTGTTGCTGTTGCTGTAGCCTAAAAGAGTCAGTGTGAGGACTAAAAAAGTGAAGAAGAAATGGAAGTGAATTTTCTGTACACTGACAGTCTATACCATGTGGTGTTGGAGAACAGCTGGTGTTTGTGACATATAATACTGCAGCCTGCTTGGCAGATCTGTGATTTGTGAAGTGTGGTAGCTGACGACACTACAATGAGGATCTACCCGCGCCGTGTCTTCCGATCCATCCTCATGGTGGCCATGTTGCTTTTCGTCATGCTCAATCTGCATATCCTGATGACGTCTCAACCAGACGGCACTGGGGAATATGACCATCAAATCATTCTTCAAGGACACCACCGCAGTTTGGGTGAAATGCATGTGCAATTTGGACAGTTAGCAGATCAACCATATTCAAATCTACCCCAGTCTACAAGATCCAAACTTGTCATTCCACCCATCAGTGGGAACTACAATAATACCACTATTTCAATCAATCGCAATATAGACACAGCTAATATAAGCCTCATCAAAGAGGAAATAGCCAAAATTAACAAGGCCCAAAAGATTCATAATCTGGATCGTTTCGGTTTGAAGTTGGACTCAGAGAGTGTTGTGATTATTGTGCAGGTGCATGACCGCCATGACTACCTTAGGATATTATTAGACTCATTGAAGAAAGTGCGAAACATACACAAGACATTGTTGATCATCAGCCACGACGTGTATGCGGAAGAGTTGAATGAGCTGGTGGAGGGTATAGACTTTGTCCCTGTAAGTATTTTCCTTTATTAGTATTCACTTCAGATACATGAGGGGCGCGCTGGGGTAGCCTAGGGGTCAGAGCTTGTCGCTTGTCTCACCGAAGACCTGGGTTTGATTCCCAACATGGGTACAATGTGTGAATCCCATTTCTGGTGTCCCCTGCCATGATATTGCTGGAATATTGCCACAAGCGGCATTATAAGACCTGTCTCACTCACTTCAGATAGATACTTGAGGGGCCGGTTGGATAGCCCAGTGGTTAAAAGTGTTCGCTCTTTATGCCAAATACCCGTTGTCCCCTATTGTGATATTGCTGGAATATTGCCACAAGAGGCTTAAAACCCAACTCACTCACTCAGATACAAAAGTATCCAGTACGTATTCTACTCCCCTGGACTGCCAACAAACTTAAAGCATATGGCCAATGATAAGACTTGACCCTAGGTATTAAAATGGTATGTCTGGTAACGTAAGCCGGACCACCAACCTGTGTACATTTTCTTGTTGTGATCAGTCATTCGAAATAGAATATCAACAAATCCGTATTGAATTAGGTTAAACCTGTTGTGACAGGCTCTTATAAACATATCAGGCGGTGAGGTAGCCATGTGGGTAAAGCTTTCGCTTGTCAGGCCAAAAACGAGGTTCAATTCCCCACATGGGTACAGTGTGTGAAGCCCATTTCTGGTGTCCCCTGCCGTGATATTGCTGGAATATGAGGAATTGGAGTGTTTATATTAATGAATTGAGACGGAGTCGCTGAATAGTTTAAACACAAGTAGCAGCAGCGAGCAGATGCTTTGTCCGATACAGGAAGTTATTTCAATGGCTTGTTTTTCATTTGCTTATGAGGAGATATAGTTGTGTATAATATATCTTTTGTGTAGTAGAAATGTTGAAAAATGATAAATGTCACATTATTTAACAAATGAAATAACCCTAAATGAACCTAAAGATTAGTTTCATACTCCAAGGTCAGTCATTCACAGAAACCACCAAGATTTATGTCATGTAGCAAATGTATATGAGTTTTAAAATACGTAAGGCGGTCCAGGTGATTTATTCCACGCCACCTCTGATGTTTATCCTGGGATAGTGAAAGTCCCAAGTAAGTTAGCTCGGTTACATTTCTTCACAGTGTGGGAACCATGTCAATCATTGCTTGCTGCACCTTTGTGTGTCCAAGTACATTAGGGTACAATGCATCTCAGGGTCTGATTGATGGTGACTTGCTCCAGTCAATGTGTAGTAGGTAATTGTGTTCACTGGATGTATGAAATACAGTAAAAACGCTGTGTCAGTACATGGGCTGATTCCAAAAAGGATCACTCATGTGGAGGGACGGTACAACCTACTGGAGCATGGCCTGCAGAAACATCAGTGCTACCCTCTCTCCGACCTCCTTTCCCCAACTTCCTTTCCCTAACCTCCTTTTCCCAATAATGTGGACTGTTTCCGTATCATGGCTGTCTATGTAGACGTCTGCTTGTCCGTCTACATAAATGTCTTCTCAGAGCAACTCTCCGGGATATTTCTATAACTGTAATAAACATGGTAGATGCATGCAAAGCTCAACCAATCATTGAGTGAGTTGAGTTTTACGCCACTTTTAGCAATATACCAGTAATATCACAGCTGGGGACACCAGAAATGGGCTTCACACATTGTACCCATGTCGGGAATCGGAGCGGGTCTTCAGCGTGACAAGCAAATGCTTTAACCACGAGGCTACCCCACCGCCCCTCAACCAATCATTGACCTGTGAAGATCTGGATTAGACTTGGTCATGTCCAACCCATGCTTGTATCCCAATTGCGTAGGTAGATGCTCATGCTGCTGATCACAGGATTGTCTGGTGCAGACTTGATTATTTACAGATTGCCACCATATAGCTAGAATATGAGTGCGGAGTAAAACTAAACTCACTCATTCATTTCATTGGAGGGTAGAGGCAGTCCAGTCCTCTCTAGGTTTGACTTCATCACAGAGTCAACTGCAGAATGTGCAATAGTCAAAGGTGCATGAGTTCACCCCTAGAGTTGTTTCCCTTAGCTGTGTCAGGATCTGCCAGTCTTAGCTATAAAAGCTAGGGTGTAGGCCTTGGTGCTTGTGGGTTTCACTAAAGTGGTGGACATCAAGCTGACGCAGTGACACAAGATCTGAGATGGCTGAATGTTTAACAGCATTAATTCCCGAACAGAATGACTAGCATGTTCCACATTTCAATGTGGATTCCTTAAGTGCCATACCTGCAGTAGGACAAGCATGGGTTGCTGAAGACCAATTCTGACCCAGATCTTCATGGGTTAATCCTATCACTAAGATGATCAAAACTCCCATGCTGTACTGTAGTATTTCCTTCATAACATTAAGACTGCTTTGGTGGACAGGCCCTGACAAATACACTGATGACAGCTAGTGGTTAGATGGCATGCATCATTGAAAGATTGTTGTAGGTTACTACTGTGTTGTTATCATGGCAACTTGTTGACTATGCTCTTTTCTCATGGTGCTAGATACCAGGTGTTAGACATCGGGTGCTAGATACCAGGTGTTAGACATCGGATGCTAGATACCAAGTGTTAGACATCAGGTGCTAGATACACGGTGTTAGACATCGGGTGCTAGATACCAGGTGTTAGACATCGGATGCTAGATACCAGGTGTTAGACATCAGGTGCTAGATACCAGGTGTTAGACATCAGGTGCTAGATACCAGGTGTTAGACATCAGGTGCTAGATACCAGGTGTTAAACATCAGGTGTTAGACATCAGGTGCTAGATATCAGGTGTTAGACATCAGGTGCTAGATACCAGGTGTTAGACATCGGGTGCTAGATACAAGGTGTTATACATCAGGTGCTAGATACCAGGTGTTAGACATCAGGTGCTAGATACCAGGGCCTAGATTTTCTAAGCTCTCTTAGCGCTAAGATAGTCGTAAGTTAATGTTAATGTATGGCACTTACGACTATCGTAGCGCTAAGAGAGCTTCGAAAATCTAGGCCCAGGTGTTAGACATCAGGTGCTAGACATCAGGTGCTAGATACCAGGTGTTAGACATCAGGTGCTAGATACCAGGTGTTAGACATCAGGTGCTAGATACCAGGTGTTAGACATCAGGTGCTAGATACCAGGTGTTAGACATCAGGTGCTAGATACCAGGTGTTAGACATCAGGTGCTAACACGGTGTTGAACTTGCTTTTAGGATTATCAGTATGTCTCACTTCCAAGTCTGTTATTGCCAGTCTCACTGTAGTCTGTTCTTGTTTCAGGTCATGCAGATATTCTTCCCCTTTTCTCAACAAATATATAAAACTGGGTTTCCGTCGGAGCACCCCAACGACTGTCCCAGAGACATTAAAAAGGACCAGTGAGTATATTGGATCCCTTCAGTAGAAGGGCTGCAATGAATCCACTTTGAGGCGAATATGATACATATCACAAATATTGGGTAACAATTGCAATAACAAGTCTACTTTGATGTATTATTCATTATATTAAGTGACACAATAACAAAATAACTATTTGACATATTTTCACCATGTTGACAGTGTTCATTTATCCTGACATTATTGCGAAGCTGAATATAAAGTGTTGGCCATTATCTTGCCTCACTTGACTATGTTCCGTATGGCACATTTTGATAATTAACAGCCAAATTCAAGTAAAACAGTCCTTTTTTGAAAAGTCATTACTAGTCGATTCTCACCACTGATAGTGATTTTCAATATGACTCAACATATTGACGTCATGTTTTGAGTCAATCAGATTTTGATTTGATTTTTTTGTATGACACGGTTGGAAAAGATTGTATGAGAATACAAAATGCTATGTTCTCCTTAGAAGGTATATAGGTCGACAGGTGAAGGTGTTTCATGAAGTGTGACTTGTAGTTAAACTGGAGCATCAGTGGGAGGCAGTGATGCTGCTCATACTGTGATACCCAGCTGTGCAGAACACCACGGTCCACTAGCCATGTCCTCTCAGTACATCTGACACATCCTAACAGGTGTACACCTTCATGTCGGCCCCAGTAGCTCATATACTTATATATATGTTTTATATACAGGTCAGCATCAGCAATATGCAATATATTGCTCAGCCTTAATATCTATATGTACTGTTTCTGATGACCGATGGGTTATCAGGGCACTTGATTTCAATAAATCAAAAGGTTCATTGTAAATCACATGCTTTTATTAGCCTGGTGTTTTTACGTTTTTTTCTTTCAAGGCAGGTAACTCCTGTCCTTAGCAGTGTATGAAATAAGGCCCGTCCGACAGCCCGAGACGGGCTAGATTTCTGCCGGACGGTCTAATTTTACAGCTAGCCAGCCCAATAGATGGGTGAAAAAAATATTCAAATGACGTATCCACTGGCACTGTCTATTTAGTATTTAAAAAGGACTGGTTAAATCTCTTCTGGGCTGGTAAGTTTTTGAAGTTACCAGCCCAGATGTCTGGCTGGTTTTTTGGCTGATTTCATACACTGTCCTTAGTTGTTTTTGCACACCTCTAAAACAATAATACCGCTAATAGAGTTGTAACAGTACAATATAGTTCAGCTCCAGCATCTGGTAATATGCAGTGTATAGCTCAGCGTCATTTTCTGGTATATGCAGTGTATAGCTCAGCTCCAGCATCTGGTATATGCAGTGTATAGCTCGACTCCAGCATCTGAAACATGCAGTATATAGCTCAGATCCAGTATCTGGTATATGCAGTATATAGCTCAGTATCTGGTATATGCAGTATATATAGTTCATGCTAAACATCTGGTATATGCAGTATATAGGTCGACTCCAGCACATGCAGTATATAGCTCAGATCCAGTATCTTGTATATGCAGTATATAGTTCAAACTAAACATCTGGTATATGCAGTTTATAGTTCAAACTAAACATCTGGTATATGCAGTTTATAGCTTGGCTCCAGCATCTGAAATATGCAGTATATAGCTGAGATCCAGTATCTTGTATATGAAGTATATAGTTCAAACTAAACATCTGGTATATGCAGTTTATAGCTCAGCCCTTGTACATTAATTGTGATGTTCTTGTTCTTGCAGAGCTTTAAAACGCAAGTGTAATAACGCAGCTCACCCAGACAAGTATGGCCACTACCGGGAAGCCAAGTACTGCCAGGCCAAACACCACTGGATATGGAAGGTAGGTGACACCCTGATTGTCTGGGCTGGGGTCAGCAGGCCGCTGCACAGTTACCACAACACGCCCAGGTTATTGCATGTTGTATGGAAATGTTACTCTTCTTGTACTGTGTCATTATTGGTATCACATGGTCTACGAATGGAGTATCACGATGATGACATATCATCCCATCCTCTCCACTGGACTTACTGAGGTGGTGTACACCAGAGTGTACCCGTGAAGATCCGGGTTAGAATTGATCTCCAGCAACCCATGCTTGTAGTAAGAGGCGACTTATGGGATCAGGTAGTCATGCTCGCTGACTTGCTTGACAGGTGTCATCATATCCCAATTGGGTAGATCAATGCTCATGCCGTTGATCACTGGATTATCTGGTCCAGACTCAATTATTTACAGAGTGAATAGCTGGAATATTGCTGATTGTGGCATAAAACTAAACTCACGCACTCACTCACTCACTACACAAGACTTTACACAATCTCAAGTTTTAGTGGTTAATAGTACAGACTACCAGGTCTATCTACACCAATTAGTTCAGGTATAATGAGAGGAAACTACAGGTGGTATTTATGACACAGTATTATCGTGGGGATCAGCGCTGTATGATGTAAAGGAGAGGATTGTATACTTTGTTATATACAGGAGGTCCAACACTTTCATGTAGCCTTAAAATATCACTGATATGCTTGTATTTGACAGCTGTAGCTCTGTAGACTGACAGTGTTCAGTAGACAGCTTTAGCTCTGTAGACAGCTGTAGCTCAGTAGACTAACACAGTGTTCAGTAGACAGCTGTAACTCTGTAGACTGTCACAGTGTTCAGTAGACAGCTGTAGCTCTGCAGACTGACAGTGTTCAGTAGACAGCTGTAGCTCTGTAGACTGTCACAGTGTTCAGTAGACAGCTGTAGCTCTGTAGACTAACACAGTGTTCAGTAGACAGCTGTAGCTCTGTAGACTGACAGTGTTCAGGAGACAGCTGTAGCTCTGTAGACAGCTGTTGCTCAGTAGACTAACACAGTGTTCAGTAGACAGCTGTAGCTCTGTAGACTAACAGTGTTCAGTAGACAGCTGTAGCTCTGTAGACTGACACAGTGTTCAGTAGACAGCTGTAGCTCTGTAGACTGTCACAGTGTTCAGTAGACAGCTGTAGCTCTGTAGACTGACAGTGTTCAGTAGACAGCTGTAGCTCTGTAGACTAACACAGTGTTCAGTAGACACAGTGTTCACAGTGTTCAGTAGACAGCTGTAGCTCTGTAGCTAACACTCAGTAGAGCTCTAGACTGACAGTGTTCAGTAGACAGCTGTAGCTGTAGACAGCTCTGTAGACTAACACAGTGTTCAGTAGACAGCTGTAGCTCTGTAGACTCAGTAGACAGCTGTAGCTCACAGTGTTCAGTAGACAGCTGTAGCTCTGTAGACTGACAGTGTTCAGTAGACAGCTGTAGCTCTGTAGACTAACACAGTGTTCAGTAGACAGCTGTAGCTCTGTAGACTCACAGTGTTCAGTAGACAGCTGTAGCTCTGTAGACTAACACAGTGTTCAGTAGACAGCTGTAGCTCTGTAGACTAACACAGTGTTCAGTAGACAGCTGTAGCTCTGTAGACTGACAGTGTTCAGTAGACAGCAGCTGTAGCCTGTAGACTAACACAGTGTTCAGTAGACAGCTGTAGCTCTGTAGACTAACAGTGTTCAGTAGACAGCTGTAGCTCTGTAGACTAACACAGTGTTCAGTAGACAGCTGTAGCTCTGTAGACTGACACAGTGTTCAGTAGACAGCTGTAACACAGTGTTCAGTAGACAGCTGACTGTAGACTGACACAGTGTTCAGTAGACAGCTGTAGCTCTGTAGACTGACAGTGTTCAGTAGACAGCTGTAGCTCTGTAGACTGACACAGTGTTCAGTAGACAGCTGTAGCTCTGTAGACTGACACAGTGTTCAGTAGACAGCTGTAGCTCTGTAGACTGTCACAGTGTTCAGTAGACAGCTGTAGCTCTGTAGACTGACACAGTGTTCAGTAGACAGCTGTAGCTCTGTAGACTGACAGTGTTCAGTAGACAGCTGTAGCTCTGTAGACTAACACAGTGTTCAGTAGACAGCTGTAGCTCTGTAGACTGACACAGTGTTCAGTAGACAGCTGTAGCTCTGTAGACTAACACAGTGTTCAGTAGACAGCTGTAGCTCTGTAGACTGACACAGTGTTCAGTAGACAGCTGTAGCTCTGTAGACTAACACAGTGTTCAGTAGACAGCTGTAGCTCTGTAGACTAACACAGTGTTCAGTAGACAGCTGTAGCTCTGTAGACTAACACAGTGTTCAGTAGACAGCTGTAGCTCTGTAGACTAACACAGTGTTCAGTAGACAGCCGTAGCTCTGTAGACTGACAGTGTTTAAGAAACAGCTGTAGCTCTATAGATTAAGACAGTGTTCATTAGACAGAGGAGGGATCTGATCTATTACAGCTGTTTCCTCCAAAGGTAGACATTCTCACCTGTACTTTCTAGTTTCCTATGTCAGAGAGGTAGAGATTTATGCAGGCACTCAATGCTTGAACACCCACGAAAAAGACTTAAATTGCTCTCGTCCCTGTGTGTTATCCTTACATCTGATCCAAGTCCTGGCCAGCTATGATTGGTCCTAAGGGACACGCGTTACCCTTAATTTGATGACAGGAATATCCATTTGCTGAGAAAAAACAAGATCCATGGAGAATTTCCTTGAAATTTTCAAGATGGAAATGGACATGAAGATTGCTCTTTAGCCAGGAAGAATTCCCCAAGTAGCTGGCGAAATACTTCAAGTTGATTTTGACTGAGGAGTGTGAAAGAACGATATTCCACATGGAGACAAATAAAGTCGAAATAATGAAGAATTAATTTTGACAAAGTCTCTGCTTGTTCTTTTATACTCTCCTTTGGTAAAAAAGTAATTTTTCAGCTAATTGACTGAAATGAACATCCGTGAATGTAAAGAGCCTGGAGAGATGAACAGATTAACTTTCTTGTATTGAACCAGGGTGCTTCCAATGTAGGGTGCTGTTATTTAGTCTGCAAGCGGTCTTTATCCCATTTACTAGATTTAGTGAATGTCTTTCGAAGCAGTTAAGCTTGATCACAACTGCTTGGTGGGCCCATAAATGTTAATTATCTTCAAAGCCTATTTGTGTGGGTTGATGGGTGTCTGTGTGCTGCAGTAGTCCTCGTCGTCATGCTCGTCTGCCTGGGTGGTCTTGTGGTCAATGCATTTGTTCATCCCACCATAGACCTATCTGTGATTCCAACGATGGGTTCAATGTTTGCTATGTTGCAGCTTGAATACAATGCTTAGCAAAAGCAAATTAAAACTGAAAAGGTACATACTCTTGCCTAGTGATGTTTAATTGCAAATCGTCACTGACAAGGTCGTTTTCTCCTATCGTTCACGCAAAGCAATATGATGTCGTTTTCTTACCACCAGCAAAAAAGTTTGAAAAAAGAGTAACCTGTAAGCAGACTGCCTTCTACAGACTGCTTTTTGGGTCCTCCAAATTTGTCTTATCTAGAGTAATATACGGTCTGCTTATTACAGACATTTCTTAAAAGCCAGGTTCATAAGTACCCCGACTCAAATATATAAATATGTGTAGATATTATCATAGAGACAAGCACTGGATTTTCTTAACCCAGCCAATGATAAATATGTAATAGGTAAAAACACAGACAGCTCATTTACTTCTGCTATCAATATGAATAAACAATACTATGTTTTAAACGTGTTGAAAATGTAAAATTTATAACACAATTGTGAAGAATTGCAAGACAAAATGCAATTATATTAGAAATAGGAACCCGCCTGAATATTTGGGAAGAAGGATGTAACTTCTCTCTTTCTACTTTCATCCTACATCCCAGTCTTACGGCATGTTCTTGATATAAATGTCCTTGTCATAGACGCGCTCGCTGCAAGGCTTCAAGAAGAGATCACAGAGATAGTGCTTGTATGCAACTAATTATATGAGTGTTGCTGTGGAGTCTGTCTTGCTGGAGGCTTGTGTCCACGTGTTGTCTTCCTTCCATGTGACATGCCGTCACACTGACATGGTGTACGTCCAAGGCCGTCTGGGGATTTTGTCGGATGATTAGTGAGTGGTGTACCGATACGCTAATACAGTACTGTCCTACAAGAGGAGGCTCATGATACCGTACATCAATTTTCAAAGCCACACGATTCATTAGATTACAAGTTATATTGATGTAAAAGCATGTCAATAATAAGCATGTTTGTCGGCAAACTGAACGACACTGATTCTGAAGAACTGTGTAAAGAGGACATTTATCATTTTACGACTTGGTGTGCAGAAAACCACTTACTCTTAAATGTCACAAAAACAAAGGAACTGATAATTGACTTTCGGAGTAAACCCACAGAAATGCTTCCAGTGATAATCAACAGTGAATGTGTTGAGACAGTGTCGGAGTATAAGTATCTTGGAACCTTCATTGACTCTAAGCTGAACTGGAACTCTAACACTGAAGCCCTATACAAAAAGTGTCAACAGCGTCTTCATCTCATGCGTAAACTGAGATCTTTTAATGTTAACCCATCTGTGATGTCATCTTTTTATGTAGCATTTATTCAGAGTATTTTAACATTTTCCTTCCATTGTTGGTACGGGTCTCTCTCAGTTCATCTCAAATCTAAAATAGACAAAATTGTTAACACTGCAAGTAAAATCGCTGGAGTCAGATTTGAATGTTTATCATCAACATATGAGCGGCAAATCATGAATCAAGCTGTCAAAATCATATCTGACCGTACTCACTACTTAAATTCGGAATACAACCTCCTCCCTTCAGGCCACCGCTACAAAGTTCCAATTGTGAAAACTAAGAGAGCCCGTACATCCTTTATTCCAAGTACCATATCTCTCTTAAACAAATGTGAAGAGCTCTGCTGATGTAACACAAATTCCTGAAAAGGCATTAAAGTATTATTCTATTCTATTCTATTCTATTCTATTCTATTCTATTCTATTCTATTCTATTCTATTCTATTCTATTCTATTCTATTCTATTCTATTCTAATAATAGCAGGAATTTTCAAGAACCAGTATATGCAGGTTGTCTAGTATTTTCTGATTGGCTATAAATAGCAGAATCCGCACAGTTCCCCCTTTCTTATGTCTTTCTGCCCTACAACAATCTAATCTCGTCTGAAACTAAGAACAACAAATGATTCAGGGTTATGATTCACCTGCAAAAGGGAGAGAATATACACTAATTCATCAGGATATAGTGTGAGTGAGTGAGTTTAGTTTTACGCTGCTTTTAGCCATATTCCTACAATATCATGGCGGGGACACCGGAAATGGGCTTCACACGTTGTGCCCATGTGGGAAATCGAACCCGGGTGTTTTGTGTGACAAGTGAACGCTTTAACCACTAGGCTACCCCACCGCCCCTCATCAGGATACAAATCGTATCAGACCCATGTTATCGTATCACGGCATCTACATGTCGTTGCACTCTGCTGTCAATGAGATTTAACGGAGTGATGTTTTGTAAGCTGAGTGTGGTATGTTGGCATGCCTGACATTACACGACATGAGCAGGTAGCGGATGGTTTCAGAGGGTAAGATTGTCAGAGGTTGGGCTTCCCTTGCAAGTGTACATGACGATCTCGATTGTTGAGGAACTGCTGTCATGTTGGCCTGAAAGAGGCTACACGGCTAACTGACCCCTTTCCCTGTCTCAGTCACAAACATGCTCTCAACCACAAGGCTAGATATCAACTGCTCTCAACCACAGGGCTAGATGTCAATTGCTTTCAACCACAGGGCTAGATATCAACTGCTCTCAACCACAGGGCTAGATATCAACTGCTCTCAACCACAGGGCTAGATGTCAGTTGCTCTCAACCACAGGGCTAGATGTCAATTGCTCTCAACCACAGGGCTAGATGTCAACTGCTCTCAACTACAGGGCTAGATGTCAATTGCTCTCAACCACTAGGCTAGATATCAACTGCTCTCAACCACAGGGCTAGATATCAATTGCTCTCAACCACAGGGCTAGATGTCAGTTGCTCTCAACCACTAGGCTAGATGTCAAGTGATGTCATGCTTTAGTGTTTGCCAGTGGTGAGATACAGCATGAATGTCATTGACTTCAGGGTACAGCAAACCGAAACCACATATTCCTCAAACACAGCAATTGTTCAGGCAAACATTGTCAGCCCTGAACGAGATTTCCTTATAAATCCAGAGTTGTTAATTAAGCATATGGTGATATTCATTGATTTGGAGAGATAGGTTTTGATCCGAAATTGAGAAACAGATGTGCGCCTCATTGAAGCCAAGATGAACGAAAAAATGAAATAGGACAGCAGATGCTTCAAGATGGAGAAGAATACAGAGCATTTCAACATACCTTTCCACAGGACCAAGCTATTGGTTTCACACAGAAATACCTAATCGACAATGAGATTGTGTTGGTGCTGCATTGTTGACAGTTTGTGTGACAGCATAGCGTAAGGTCCCAGTAATTGGCATGACTGCCGCCTTGTTGATCCCTGGCATGCCTGGTGGCTGGACGTGGAGTCGCGGTGTAGACGCTCTCAGATGAATGCAATAACTTCATTACACAAAGTCCCCCTGACTGTCCGTAATGGCGCTTACCAATATGCTGTGGTGGACAAGACACACGCCTTGTGAGAGTGCCATCAAATATGGATGCCGCTTCCTTCTCGTCAACCCTGGCCCAACTCGGGCCAAATCCCAAATGAATCAAACTGTCGGTTGATCTTCCATGAATACATTTAAGCACAACTAACACTCATTTGAGTTTTAGGTTGAAAGGAAAAACTAATCTTTTGATGACTCAAGGGAAACATGTTATGTGCAACTTTGTTGAATAGGATTGAAATAATGTGAGACTGTCAGAATATTGTATTACAAGTTATTGGGTTATCAGGTGAGGTATGTGCTGTAGGATTACAAGTTATTGGGTTAACAGGTGAGGTATGTTCTGTAGGATTACAAGTTATTGGGTTAACAGGTGAGGTATGTTCTGTAGGATTACAAGTTATTGGGTTAACAGGTGAGGTATGTGCTGTAGGATTACAAGTGAGGTATGTTCCATGAAGCTGCCTTCGTGACATTGTCAAATGTCATTTTTTTTAATTCATTGAGACCTCGAGTTGTTGTTTAAACACTCTCAACATTATTCATATTCATATAACATGTATTTGACTGGTCTGGCAACAAAGAACCATACACAAAGAACTGCATATCTTCTTCCCCTTGCTTGTCTATGCAATACAATCTGTGAAGCAACCCTTGTATACTCTTTATGTTGTACACCACACACACCATGACTCACATGGCCAACACTGCTAGGTACAGTCAGCACTCAGTGGACTGGGACCTTTTAGTCCCTTAAAGTCAGTGGACCCCTTCATGTCACTGGGCCCTTTTCAGTCACTGGGCCCTTTAAGTCACTGGGTCCCTTCATGGGCATCTTCATTTCACTGGGCCCTTAAAGTCAGTGCATCCCTTCATGTCTCTGGGCCTTTTTCAGTCACTGGGCCCTTTTCAGTCACTGGGCCCTTTATCAGGCCTACCAAAGAAAACTTTCCCACTGTGCAGAAAAACACTGAAAAGTCCACATTAATCGTGGAAATAGCAACATAAACATAATACCTCGCTACTGAAACAGTAGAAACGACAACTTTAAATCGCTGAAACTGGATAAAAAAACCAAGAACCTGCAACTTCAATTTTGTGCATGCGCACATGGAAGAGGAAGTCTCGACCGCATGTTGACATTTTCCAGCTTGGACAAAAGTTTCATTCCCTTTTAAAGTATTTCTGTTGTGTTATTTGGCATTTATCATCATGAAACTTGTGTGCACACTTGTTTAGTTTACTTTCCATTCGTATAAAACGATTGACAGGAATTATTTCGACATATTCAATACTTTTTCTACGAGAGGCGATTCACGGGTGTTCGGAAATTTGAAAGAAGCCCGGATCGTAAAGTGCAAGCACAGTAGAGGTCAAAGTTCGCTGATATAAAAAATGTTGCAGTTTCATAATCTTTCGTTGACGTTTTTACTGTTTCAGTAGCGAGGTAATATGTTGGTATTTCCACGATTAATGTGAACTTTTCTGCGTTTTTCTGCACAGTGGGAAAGTTTTCTTTGGTAGGCCTGTTTATGTCACCGAGTCTGTTAGCAGCAGAAGATACAGGGATCATGTTCAGATGTGCTGCCAACACCATGTATTGTCCCAGTCTGTGGTATCAACCACCGACGCACTGAGAACTGCAGTTTCACCGACCCTGTTTGAGTTTAGTTTCTCTATGGATGAAGCCTCAGTGTGACGAAACTTAAGTTTAGGTCAAGGACATTTCTTGAATCAAAGTGCGGAGTAAGAATTTTGTATCATGGCTAATGTGTTTCTGTCAAAGGTTTCTTGAATGATGTCAAACTGAAATAGACATGTTGTATCTTCAGTGGGAAGTGGGCATTGTGTTCATGTGTGATTGCCCTGTTCTCATCTCAACAGATATAAGTGTGTTAATATTGATGCCAGCATGGCTTGGCAGATACTCAATTGTCCTGCGTTTCAGTATTGACTGACCCACAAACACATCAGATTCATATTGTTGTTATTGTGTTGTCATGACAACCATAAAGTAAACAAAGGCAAACAATCCCCTTAGTTGTAAGCAGTTAAAATGAATGAATAAATAATTGAAAATTAATCCTTACAGTTGGTGAAATGTTGTGTTGTGGTGTTGATTGGGGTCATTCAACTTATTCATCTACACATGGTTGTGAATATCAGCTGTACAAGGAGAGGTTCATCATGAAGAAATATTTCTCTGTCTTCTTTTGGTTGTGTATTGGTCCACGTACACATTGTACCGCTATGTGTAATGGGACACATACGTAATAGTCATTTTACCTCCATGTGTAACAGAGCTTTGTGGTACATGTCAGTTGTTTGTATTGCTGTAGATAGCCTGTATTAGTTTTCCACTCAGATGTTTACAAACAGTTCTTGATCTGACACGTTCTGAAAAAGTTATGATCACTCCATTATTGAACTTGAGATGAGTTCCAGGTTTGCAGGTTGTTGTGTTTGGATGGCCGTCATGTATCAGGGAGGAAGAGCTGACCGGGAGTAATCATTACTCAAGAGTATATCAAGCGTAATGCAGACATTATTACTGGGGGGAATAGTGTTTCCGTGGTAATGTATTCCACTCATGTGATTCAACCCTGACCCCAAGGATTTGAATTGTTAAGTAAGACTTTTGACCTCTGTGTCCTGCAGAGCAGCTTAGGAATGTTGACTGTGATAGAGTTTAAGTGTTGAGCATCTCAGATTCTATGCTCACATGCTTTGATCCAATGATGTGAAACTGTACCCTAATCAGAACATAATCAGTATATCATGGGGGTGGGGCGGGGTAGCCTAGGGCTTAATGTGTTCGCTAGTCACACCGAAGAACCAGGTTCAATTCCCACATGGGCACAGTGTGTGAAGCCCATTTCTGGTGTCCGCCGCCATGATATCACTGAAATAATGCTTAAAGTGCTCGCTCACTCACTCACTCACTCACTCACTCACTCACTCACTCACTCACTCACTCACTCACTCAGGTTTTTTCAGGTAAATTTTTTTATCTACCTTTGTGTTTGTTTGCGATGGATGCCAATGACTGTACACCTTTCTTCTAGCGATTCATAAACACATCCTTCTTATGTAGTGAGAATCTAACAGTATACAGCAGGGATATCCTGACTGTGGATATTTATTTCAGAAAATCGGAAAACAATCTTCAAGTAGGAGGAAGAATTTTTAAAATGTATTTTTACTGTTTTGAATGTTTGAAAAAGGTTGGATCTGGATTGGATCGATGAGATAAATAATGCTAGAAAAGCCAAAGTGCATGGGCAGTTTTTTGTATGTGTTCATTACTGGCTACAGTCTGCAAAACACCAGACCATTAACACTACTGGAAGAGAATAACTCTATACAGAAGCACCTAAAACCCCAATATACTCTGAAGCCAAACAATGGTCTAATGCTTGACCTGTGTTGTCTGCCTGTTTCATCCTCACCAAGGAGAACACAACATATTGTGACAGATATAAATCCTAGGCCCGACTGTTGACCGTATCTGTACAGCCACTCCATGTCGATCACGATCAATAAATCTTTGAGGTCAACTGACATGGCTTTGATCAAATCAATCGTGATCTCCCCTGCCTGACCCACCCAGTAGCTACGTCACAGGGTAGTACATTTATAGGTGTGGTACAGATATCTGGTAATGGTGGATGAACAGCTTCACCTAGTACCATGTGACACCACTTAGTAACATGTGGCTCTGTCATGTCTATTGAAGCTGGATTAGAACTGATCCCACGTAATGTTTGTGACAGGTGACAATAAATGTGAGTTGTGATTAACTGCCGATATACTCTGGCTGAAGGGGTACAGATGTGTACCCTAGGACGATTCCATTCTGCACTGTCATTTTCTTGATCGGAACTGTCCTACTGTTGTATTAGATGTATTTGATTGCGTTATATAAGGAATGACCATACACAGTAATAAATATTTCATGGTGCACACTACCACTCCCTGTCAGTTGTACGGGAACAACTACATGCGGTTTCGGTTTTGGATTGAGGAATATGGACTCGTCCCCTGTGTGTGGGTTCAAATCCTAGAATCAATTCCAATCAACAGTGCTAGAGTTTGTACTATGCTGCAAAAGTGTAATCCAAAATATGATATATGTTACATTTTGCCTCTTTCTAAAAGACATACCGTAATCTATTCAAAACAATTACATGAACTATAGACTATGAACAATGGTCTGATAGATCAGTAGAGTTCTACAAATATACAAAGTATCTGAGGTGAAATCTGAGTATTACTCAGCTTCAAAAGATTACTGAGGAAATGATTGCTTTAGTTTCATATCACTGAGAGCTTGTAGCCCAGTTGTCGCAGCCCTTACCATTGCCTTAAACCTGGAATTGTGGGTTTGATTCCTATGTCTGCATAGCTATGTTTCTTGGTTTGTGTGCACCATACTCTGGCTTTATCCAAAGTGGGTAATGTCCTAGACGTGCGTCTCTTGGGGCTTTCGTCACACATCAGATTGATACATTGTGATACAGTTGTTCAAGAGGAGTTTCAGACCAAGCTCCCTCACATAACACTAAGCACTTAACATTGTTGGTTTACTGACTTGGTGACTGAATTAAGTGCTGCTTCCTGACGTTGTATAAGGAACTGACCCTCCCTCGCAGTTTGACACAGATGTACTTCCTGTATCTGTTAGCGCTGTCAGATTCTGCATGTCAGGAGTTAGGGGAAGATACAGGGTAATGGGTTTCGTTGTTCGACTGAACACTTTGGTTAGGTGTTAATACCAACCCACTGTACACCACTGTACCACATGACACACCAACCCACTGTACACCACTGCACAACATGACACACAAACCCACTGTACACCACTGTACCACATGACACACAAACCCACTGTACACCACTGTACCACATGACACACCAACCCACTGTACACCACTGCACATGACACACAAACCCACTGTACACCACTGTACCACATGACACACAAACCCACTGTATACCACTGTACCACATGACACACAAACCCACTGTACACCACTGCACCACATGACACACAAACCCACTGTACACCACTGTACCACATGACACACCAACCCACTGTACACCACTGCACCACATGACACACAAACCCACTGTACACCACTGTACCACATGACACACAAACCCACTGTACACCACTGTACCACATGACACACCAACCCACTGTACACCACTGTACCACATGACACACAAACCCACTGTACACCACTGTACCACATGACACACCAACCCACTGTACACCACTGCACCACATGACACACAAACCCACTGTACACCACTGCCCCACATGACACACAAACCCACTGTACACCACTGTACCACATGACACACCAACCCACTGTACACCACTGTACCACATGACACACAAACCCACTGTACACCACTGTACCACATGACACATCACACCACTGTACACCACCACATGACCACATGACATAAACCCACTGTACACCACTGTACCACATGACACACCAACCCACTGTACACCACTGTCCCACATAACACACAAACCCACTGTACACCACTGTACCACATGACACATCACACCACTGTACACCACTGCACCACATGACACACAAACCCACTGTACACCACTGTACCACATGACACACCAACCCACTGTACACCACTGCCCCACATAACACACAAACCCACTGTACACCACTGTACCACATGACACACAAACCCACTGTACACCACTGTACCACATGACACACCAACCCACTGTACACTACTGTACCACATGACACATCACACCACTGTACACCACTGTACCACATGACACACCAACCCACTGTACACCACTGCCCCACATAACACACAAACACACTGTACACCACTGTACCACATGACACACCAACCCACTGTACACCACTGTACCACATGACACACCAACCCACTGTACACCACTGTACCACATGACACACCAACCCACTGTACACCACTGTACCACATGACACACCAACCCACTGTACACTACTGTACCACATGACACATCACACCACTGTACACACTGTACCACATGACACACCAACCCACTGTACACCACTGCCCCACATGACACACAAACCCACTGTACACCACTGCACCACATTACACATCACACCACTGTACCACATGACACATCAAACCACTATACCGCATGACACATCACACCATTGTACCACATGACACACCACACAACTGTACAACACTGTACCACATGACACACCAACCCACTGTACACTACTGTACCACATGACACATCACACCACTGTACCACATGACACATCACACCACTGTACACCACTGTACCACATGACACACCAACCCACTGTACACCACTGTACACTACTGTACCACATGACACATCACACCACTGTACACCACTGTACCACATGACACACCAACCCACTGTACACTACTGTACCACATGACACATCACACCACTGTACCACATGACACATCACACCACTGTACCACATGACACATCACACCACTGTACACTACTGTACCACATGACACATCACACCACTGTACAACACTGTACCACACACACTGTACCACATGACACATCACACCACTGTACCACATGACACACCACACCACTGTACAACACTGTACCACATGACACACCACACCACTGTACAACACTGTACAACACTGTACCACATGACACACCACACCACTGTACAACACTGTACCACATGACACACCACACCACTGTACAACACTATACCACATGACACACCACACCACTGTACAACACTGTACCACATGCCACACCACACCACTGTACTGTACAACACTGTACCACATGCCACACCACAACACTGTACAACACTGTACCACATGGCACACCACACCACTGTACGACACTGTACCACATGACACATCACACCACTGTACCACATGACACATCACACCACTGTACCACATGACACATCACACCACTGTACCACATGACACATCACACCACTGTACCACATGACACACCACACCACTGTACAACATGACACATCAAACCACTATACCGCATGACACATCACACCATTGTACCACATGACACACCACACAACTGTACAACACTGTACCACATGACACACCACACCACTGTACCACATGACACGTCACATCACTGTACGACACTGTACCACATGACACACCACTGTACAACATGACACACCACACCACTGTACCACATGACACGTCACACCACTGTACGACACTGCACCACATGACACATCACACCACTGTACAACATGACACATCACACCACTGTACCGCATGACACACCACACCACTGTACAACACTGTACCACATGACACATCACACCACTGTACCACATGACACACCACACCACACATATGATACTTTTTTATAACATCCATCCCCTCCCACCCATCCAACTGTAGTATGATGATATCAGCTAATCTGATACTATACTAGATCACCTGTTGCCTGAGTTACTTGCTGTTGAGCCACAGCTTGAAGTTGAGCATTATGTCCTGCACGTGTCCCACAGCTGAGACAGTGACATGATCCCTGTGGTCAGGTGACCACTACTCAGGCTCCTCACTGACAGACAGGTGCTCTTTTAGGGTTTGAAAAGGCCACGAGTCCATTAGGCTGAAACCAGACTTAATCTTGACTGGTTGTGTTCTCCTACGATTGATCGATCATGATTATTGATCGTTTCCTGTTCGATGAGCCTGTGAGTGAATCAGTGTATACTATTATGATCACCAATATTCCAGCGATATCACGGACAGGGAAATGATTGAATCTGTACAATGGTGTGGCCGGTCATGAGCAGTGATCCAGCCTTTGAACACGGTATGGATGGTCAGGTGGTCTAAGGTGTGACTTGTATCTGTTAGAAACACCAGATACATGTACCTAT